TATTTGCAATAGCCAAGATACAAAAGCAACCCAAGTGTCCACTGATGGATGAATGGAGGAAGAAAATGTGATTTATACACAGTGGAATATTATTCAGCCACAAAAAGGAGGAAATCTTGCCATATTCCACAACATAGATGGACCCTGAGAACAATAAGCTAAGTGAACTAAGTCAGAGAGACAAGTACCCTATGATCTCTTATATGTGGAATCTAAAACAAACACAAAAACAGCAAGCTCACAGAAAACAAGCTAACAGAAAACAGATTGGTGGTTGCCAGAGGCAGAGGATGGGATGGACGAAATGGGTAAAGGGAGTCAAAAGCTGCAAAGTTCCGGTGATAAAATAAGCAAGCCAGGGGGGTGTAATGCACAGCATGGTGACTATAGTTAATACCATTTTGCATATTTGAAAGTTGCTAAGACAGTAGACTCTAGAAGTTCTCACCACCAGAAAAAGAATTCTGTAACTATGTATGGTGATGGACGGTAACTAGACTCATTATGGTGATCATTTAGCAATATACACAAATATTAAACCATTATGGTGTACAATGAAACTGGTATGTTATACATAAATTATACCTCGATTAAAAAAAAAAAAACAACTATTGATTTTTGCAAAGAAGGCAGTAAATCCCGTTTGCGACCTGGGAGAATTGCTATGAGCAGAGCCTATTTTTGTGTTTCTGTTTTTCATAAACATCCCTGAACATGGGCGGAGAGGTGTGGGGCAGGGCAAGGGGTGTTGAGGGGTCGTCTCTAAAACTACTCTTCATATTCAAGCTCAAGGAAGCTTAATTGCTGATAACGATCAGAAGCAGAAACAGAGGGGCGCCTGGGTAGCTCAGACAGTTAAGCATCCGACTTCGGCTCAGGTCATGATCTCACAGTTCATGAGACCAAGCCCTGCATCGGGTGCAGAGCCTGCTTGAGATGCCCTCTCTCCCCACCTCTCTCTGCCCTTCCCCTACTTGCACACACGCTCTCACTGTCCCAAAATAAATAAACCTAAAAAAAAAAAACCCTAATAGGATACAATGTAAAAATGCTTATCACCAGGCAACTGCCACCAAGCAGGTGAACCTTCAGAATTAGAAAAAACGTGGCAGTTAGAAATATGGTGGAGAATTTTTTAAATTGAGGATGAAAAAGTAACATTTCTGACCATTCCTGACACTGGACAAACAAACATTTAAAATGCATGAATATACAAACAGAGCTCAGGATTCATTAAGAAACAGGGTAACAGATCAATACTGGGCCTGAGTGACAAGTTTTCACTAAAACACCTTGCTTTGTTCCATGAGTTTTCCTAGGCAATGACCTACATCCATCACATCAGTCCCCCCCCCCGCCCCACTCCGGCCCCTGCCCAAACCGTAAACATTGAGCTAGATGTTCACAACCTACACTAGCGAAATGCCTCACCAAGGCAGCTCACAAGGGCGGGAGGGCTGGGGGAGTTTCATTCTCTCTCCCGGTTTTCAGTGGGTCAACAAACTCTTTTCAATCGTGATCACTTACTTTAGCCATGTTGTTTTTTACAGGAACTGCTTGACATATAACTGACTTAGTTCAATTAATGGGCTGAAAAAGAAACTACACACATATAGATATGGCGTGGCTAATCTGTTATGTTAACTGTAAAGACCAGTACCCAACCCTGCTCCAAATTCTAAATTCTACTGCTTCGGCTCTATGTCACAAGGTTGGCTGAAAACAATCTTGCAGGCTGTGCTATGACTTTAAGAAATAAATTCTCCCGCAAGTCTTTGGCAAATGTACGGCTAAACATAGCAGAAATCTCATGTATACAGATTTAAAGTTTCTCCTTTGGGAATTTTGCAAGCAAACAAAAAGATTTATTTCGCCAATTCAAATGAACTGTATCAAAACACACAAAGGCCTGGAGGAAAGATTACAATAAAAACAAGTGATTCAAAGCAATTTCTGATCCACAACATTTTACTTAGCCCACAGAGATATAAGGTGTGGCCGTGTTTTCTGACAGATTTCACTGTTCCTTGCCTCCAAGTGAAACACTGCCAGAAGAATATCTTGAGTGCTTAATGTATGCCTGGAAGACATGTTTATCAGCCCTTTAGTAATGGGAGGAGGAGCTGTGCTCAGACCATAAAGTATATAAGAACAGATCATTTAGAGCTGTGCTGTGCTGGGTAGACAGTAGCACTGGACACGTGTCTTCAGCATCTGAACTGTGGCTAGTACAATTAAGGAACTAAAATTGTATTATGACTTGATATTGGACTCACAAACTTAAAAATGTTTGTGTGTTGGAGAGAACTTGGGTGTGTCTCTACTTTTTCACTGTGTATTTTGTGACATATAAATACAGGTCAAATACTCCTGATGAAAACTTAGCATCTTAATTGAGAAGTACCATTGGTGGATTTACAGTTAATTTTGAACACTTGGTGTGAAAAGAAATGTAAAATTTTCCAGTATTTCTTAATATAGGTTGAATGTTGAAATATTTTGGATATAATAAAGTATATCATAAAACTAATTTCATTTTTTTAATGTGGTTCCCAGAAAACTGAAAATGACAGAGGGCTTGCATCCTAGTTCTACTGGGCAGTGCTGTTCTAGAGTGATCTGAAGTCTTGAGGACTTGAACGCCATCTGCTGGATACATGTGTACAAAACACGCCTGCAAGAACCAATAAAACTAATTGTGTTAACACTTTCAACTCTGGGTCAGAAAGGGAAGAGGATGTTAACTGGGCTCACGAAACAACTACCTGTGTGTTAAGAGAGTATTAGAAATGTTTATATGCTCTTGAAATCCTAGAGGAAATCTTACAGTTATTAGTCGACAAGGACCTTATGCCAATGTGCAGACTGCTTCACCATCTGCCCTAGGTGGGGGGGCACCCTGGGCAACGATGAAAGGTTATTTGGGGATCCTGCTCAGGACCGCTAGCTCCCGCAGGCCGTCCTCCCGCCTGTTCTCTGCCATCAGCCTCTCAAGCCCTTCTGCTCTACCTCAGAAACACGTCCTTTTCCCATTGTTCTCATTTGTCTATTGTCTTCCTTCTTCCCTTCCGTTTTTCTTCTTAGGATTCCAGTGTAACTAAATATTTCTATTTTTTCTCTCTAGTATATTCCAATTTTCCTTTTTTGGTCACTCTCCCTTTTGTTACAGTTGGTTTTGTAGTTTTAGTTCCTACGTTTAGGTCTTTGATCCATTTGACATTGAGTTGGTTTTGTTTATGGCCTGAGTTATGGGTCCACATTCATTCTTTTGCATGTAGATAATCAGGTGTCCCAAAATCATCTGAAGAAACTATTCTTTCCCCCATTGGGTGGCCTTAGCACCACTGGCAAAACTCTACTGACCACAGATATAAGGATTTATTTTGGGACTCTCAATGTTAGTTCACGGATCTACATGCTTATCCTAGGTCAGTACTGCACTGCTTTGATTTCTGTAGTTTGTAGTAAGTCTTGAAATTAGGAAGTGTGGGTCCTCCAACTCTGTTCTTTTTCAAGATTGTTTTGGATTATTCTGTCTCTTTAATTCCAAACCAATTTTAGGATCAGCTTATCAAGTTTTGCAAAAGACGTGGCTGGGCCAGTTGATTTTAATGTACATATTTTAAAATCTATTTGCCTGGGGAGCCTGGGTGGCTCAGTTGGTTAAGTGTCTGATTTCAGCTCAGGTCATGATGTCGTGGTCTGTGGGTTTGAGCCCTGTATCGGGCTCTGTGCTGACAGCTCAGAGCCTAGAGCCTGCTTCAGATTCTCCACCTCCCTCTCTCTCTGCCCCTCCCCTGCTCATGCTCTGTCTCTCTCTCTCTAAAATAAACATACATTAAAAAAAAAAAAGGTATTTGCTTGATCAGGCTGATGGAACAACCCTTAGTAGGGCAGGCAACTTTGCCTTTGACATGGAGTCCAGAGGTTAAGTTTGCAAGAATTTGGAATTTTCAACTAATGCTACTTGATATTGGGACAAGACTGAGAGCAGATGGCATTGGAGAAAGTGAGGCTAGAGTAAACAAGAGCCTAAACAAACTGCACTGAAGTCCCAGAGCTACCATTTGGATATCACGTGATCTTGGACAAGTCATTGGCCCTCTTTGCACTGTAGTTTGCAATTTGTAATGAGAAGGGGGCATTCCCATCAATACCACTGAGACTGTGTGCATCAGACCCACAAGAGTGCAGGCTCCTTCTGGCACCTGAAAGACCTGCTCCAGCACATTCTTACAGGGAGCCCTATGGGCCAACTCCCACTGCTTGTCTGCAGCTGTCAAGAAGACTCTGAGGTGCAGTCGGCACAGAAGTGCTTCTGAGCTCTGCTAACTCAGTTAGTAAAGACAAAGGGACCTCCTCGCCCCTCACTCCAGCCCAGGTCTATTCCAGTCAGACTTCTGAGGTGACTTGGCTCCTGAAGTGGTGAGGGCCTACTGTGGGCACAACAGAGAGGCAGGCCCAGCTGAAAAGCCAGCCCTTAAGAAGCATCTGACTTCTGACTACACCGGGCAGCCTCCACATGTGCCCCAGGCACTCTGCACACACTTACTGAATGCCCACAAGGCAGGTGTGACAATCATCATTTAGGATGGGATGACAAGAAAACTGACTTTGCCTTCTACCTTTTTGGATTATGAGTTCTGCTCTCTGGTCTTATTTCAAATGTTACTGCTTAATAGTCCACCAGCTTCATGGTCCTCTGGGAGACTAGATCACTTGCCCTACTTGGTGTCCCCTCATTTGCCACTTTGACAGGCTAACACACCTTCTGACAGAAATGGAACTGATATGGAAGCTGAATCCTTGGAACAAAGAAAGCTGCACTCTAGTATTTGCAAAATTAAAGGAACGAATCCTTAAATCTAGATACGCCAAAAGAGTGGGTATGAAACAGGGTTACAAGCTCCTCTGGGTCATACATGACAGCTTACATGTAAATCCAGGAGGCCAGGTCTCCATATCAGTTAGAAAGAAAGAAATAGCCAGTGGCCACAGAATTTCCATGGTACCATTCACTTTCTTCCTTGCTGACCGACAAATCCAACCTGAAGTCTGTGTCTTCTAGGAAAGGGATAGGAGGAAATAGGTACAATCCGGCCCCTAAAATTAAATTATTTTCCCCAATTTGGGAGAAGGCACCATCAACAGTACAGACCCAAATCAGAATGGTTTTTGAAGTTCACGTCACTTGTTTATAGTAGGATATCATATCATCCAGAGTTTTGAAAGCGACGGTAGGGGCCTGTGGCGGGCTGCCGGGGCCAGGAGCGGATGGTGGATGTGAAGGGCCGGCGTCACAGCTCCGGCCAGACCACTGTACTGGGTCGCTTGGTGTGGGTGTGGGCGCAGGCGCAGGTCTGCTCCAGGTCTGGCTACCGAGGGAGCCTGTTCGCTTTTGACCCACAAAGTAATCCGACGGCGGGGCAAACTCAGGATCTCTCTCAGCCCGGAGATCTGATTGCCTCTTCGACCAGTACCCAAAGGAAAATTCTAATAAAAATAAGAAAGAGTATTATGAGAGTAATGACCAAACCAGTTGAATTTCTACTGTTATTAATTTTCCATCATTATGTATATTTCTTACCCCCCAACTCCCATTCTCTGGACGAGACAGCAAGGATAGCAGTCACATAATATGAGGTGTATGTAATGCCTACAAAAATATAAGGAAGCAGGCAAAGAAAAGAGAATGACTACTTCCAGATGGGGAAAGATTCAAGGAAGGCTCTGGAGGAGAAGGCTGGTAGGTTCTGGAAGTATTGCCAAAAGGCACTAAAATTACATCTGAGAGAGAAATATAGAAAAATCAAACACTCAAATCATTTGCTTGACATGATGTAGGTACTTGACAACAAAATACAAATTCTGGCCGTTATTGAGTTTTAGAAGACACAAAAGTCCAAATCTCTATTTGGTTAGCAGCACTAACCAAAGGCACTGGCCTATTTGCCTTTTACCGAGTCTTGGATCTCATCAGCTCCAACACGGTGAGCTAATGTACGACTGTAACGATCTTGTTCAAAGAGGCATAAATCCTAGTCTCCTCCAACAAGAAGCTGCTGTGGGTATCACAGTATATTTACAAAAACAATTTACAGAAAATTCTGCATGACCCAACAGATCCATATGTGAATCCAGGTTAATACTTGGGCATGAAGACTATTTTCAACTAAACATAAAGGAGACTGCTAGAAACAAGACAACGTTAAAATACCAAACCTTGTAAGAATTTTAAAAGTTGCTCCTGAAAGGAGTGCTGATGCACAGGGGCACGTGTACCCCAATGTTCACAGCAGCACTTTCAACAATAGCCAAATCATGGAAAGAGCCTAAATGTCCATCAACTGACGAATGATCAAGAAGATGTGGTCTATATATACACTACACGGCAATGAGGAAGAATGAAATCTGGCCATTTGTAGCAACGTGGATGGAATTCGAGGGCGTTATGCTAAGTGAAGTAAGTCAGGCAGAGAAAGACAAATACCATATGTTTTCACTCATAAGTAGAACAGGAGAAACTTAACAGAGGACCATAGAGGAGGGGAAGGGGAAAAAATAGTTAAGGAGAGGGAGGGAGGCAAACCATAAGTGACTCTTAAAAACTGAGAACAAACTGAAGGTTGACGGGGGTGGGGAGAGGGGAAGGGGGGTGATGGGCATAGAGGAGGGCACTTGTTGGGATGAACACTGGGTGTTATATGGAAACCAATTTGACAATAAACTCTAATAAAAATAATAAAATGAGAAAAAAAGGTGATAAGGTGAATTAAGCCCCACCCACTCCCTATAACATCACAAACATGATGTTCTATCAAAAGCTGAGAATTGTTTTTTAAGTTTAATTATTTATTTTGAGAGAGGCAGAGAGAGAGGGAGAAAGAGAATCTCAAGCAGGCTCTGGGCTGACAGCACAGAGCCCAACACAGGGCTTGATGCCATGAACCGGGAGATCATGATCTGAGCCGAGATTAACAGTTGGATGCTCAACCCACTGAGCCAGCCGGCACCCCAAATTACATTAAAAAACAAAAAAAACCCCATAGCATCAAAAACATATGTAAAAGCCTATAATCTCTCAGTTGTGGGAGTGACTCCTTTATTAAATAAAGCATCACCTTGAATTCCTACACAGAAATTATCACCTTATTCATGGGACTGTAAGATTCATTTTCCCCCAAATTCATATAAAAATTACCACCGCAACTACCAACCCATCTAACATGTTCATATTATAAGTGGAAAGCCGAACAAACCACATAAGCTTCAAATGATGGGCTGGTTCAGTGGCAGAGGAGAGTAGTTTGGTAAGAACGACAGGTGTTATTGGTCATGTAAATATGACCATGTCCTCTACCACAATCCAGTAGGAAGTCATATTTGGATATGCAGCAATATTCTCTAACCCTGAGCAGGTGGGGAGACATCTGAAAGAATTCCAGTGCCATACTCACACAGACAGATACAATACCCTAACATTTTCAGTCCAAGCATGATAACAAAATAAACTTTTCTTTAAGAAAAAAATTCCTTTAAAAACTCATGATGCATCCTGTACAGGAATATGCATATCTTAGTTACCAGCCAATAAATGACTTATAAACACACACACACACAGTGGCTCCTGAGAAAGGGAATACCGAAGCTTAAAGCCACATGAGGGCAGCACAAATTTTTGAAAACTTCCCCCAGTGCTTCTAAAAAAAACTGTCCTTTTGAAATGATCTGTTGTAGACCCTGGTTTTTTATAATCACACTTTCTAGCGCCCCTGTTTATAAACAGCTAGGGTCTGGGAAGAAACAGTTCAAAGATCTGGAGAGTTCCATGAGCCTCGAAGGACCACTAAGACTCATGAAAA